AGTGTGGCAAGGTGTTTCCTGACTGGGCCACCTCACAGCCCTGTCTTCTTGCCGGTGAAACTCCTTCTTTAACCTCCGTAGACTTTTTTTTTTTTGTAATGTGCTGGGTGTTTTGCCCAGTGCACCTCAGGTCTATGTGCCTGATGTCTGCTGAGGCCACAGGAGGGTGCCGGATGCCCCGGAAATGAAATTATAGGTTATTTTGAACTATCACGTGGATACTGGAAATTGAACTTGGATCACTGTGGAGCAGGGGTTCTCAGCCTTCCTCACGCTGTGACCCTTTAGTACAGTTCTTCATGTTGGGGTGACCTTTAACCATAACATTATTTTGTTGCTACTTCATAACTATAATTTTGATACTGTTATGAATCGTTATGTATTATTTTGGGGGGTAAAGGGGTCACAACCCATAGGTTGAGGATCACTGTTCTGGAAGACCAGCCAGTGCTCTTGACTGCTGAACCATCACTTCAGCAAAGTCATTGTTTAGCTCAGGCAGGCTTTTAGTTTTCCTCCCCGCCACCTTGTAAGGCCCAGGATTACAGGCATGTACCATCTGGCTTCCCTCTCATCTTTTGCAAGTGTCTCAGTGTCCAGGCTGAAGAAGCAAACACATGCGTGTCCATCCATCCACTCCCCTTTGGGGCGTAAGTAGACTCTTCTCCCATCTGGATTTGCCCAGAAATGTCTGCCACTGTGTTGCCTGCATACCAAGGTGGGAAGAAGCATTCAGCTAGGGAGGCTTAGGGGCCTGGAAAACTCCTGAGGAGTCTTCAAGTCCATGCTGTCCCTGGAGACAGCAGCTGGACCTACGAGGAAATGTTACCAGATACCCCACAGCTGTTTTACAGTCAAGTTTAGTGAATTTTCCTGAGTGAAGACAGCTTGCCAATAGCCCCTCCGTGAATACGAACTCTTTGTGCTCTCTGCTCTCATTAGGTCGGCAGCCTAAATAGGGTGATTTGGGAGTGAAGGTCAAAGGTCTCCCTGAGGGGCTTTTCACCCCGGTTGGTGGTAGAATTTCTGGAAAGTGCAGGTGAGAAGAAGGCTTAGAGCAGCACGGAGAAGGAAGTGCAGCGGTCAGTTCCTAATGACCCGCTGAGGTTCTGCCAGGCAAACAGGCCGGATAAGAGCTTTCTATGGAGAAGCCCCGTCTACTCGGAGAAGATGGAGTCGACTCACGGCAGGAAAGGAAAACGGGAGACCGAGTCCAGAGTCCTAGACCACCAGGGGCTAGTGCCATCGGCAGGGGTCCTTGGGATGAACGATGGGGGTAGAAGTGGACAGGAAAGGCGTGTTCCGGGAGTGCTGCTCAGACGGAATGCAAGTGTTTGACTTTGGAAGGAAGCGCATCACTAGCCTGCACGTCCAGGCCCCCCGGGGTCCACTGTGCATGCCCTTTGTCACCAAGGTAGCAAGGACCCTGGAGGTCTGCTTACAGCAGGACTCCCCTGAGGAAAACAACTCCCCACGCCCACTGGCTGGGTAGGGCTAATTACTCCCACAGGAACTAGGGACATGTTGACTTGAATCTGTGGAAAGCCACAACTTACATGATTTCTACAGAAACAAAAAGCCGTGGTTCTCCCCTTCCACCCGGCCCAACCCACCTCCTGTAGGCCACTAACCATCCTCTGAACACCTCAGCTTTTACGACCTTCGTCAGAAGCAGGCGTGACTATTCGGCAGTGCCCTGCAAGATGGCACCTGTTGACATTCCTTCATAGTAGGGTCGGGGCCCTTACCCAAGGTCCCAGCCATCCCTGTTTTGCACCTTCTTGCCCACTGTGTGCAGTTCTGCTCTAATTGCACGAGGTTTGTGGTCTTGGAAAGTGCCACAATGTGTAAAGGATGGAAGGTTTTCTGAAGGTGGGGGCAGGGAGACTCCATCTATGGGGAAGTTGCCATTTATGTTAGGTGTGATACTTTTCTGTCAGATGGCTGCTTTGGCGTCATTCATGCTCTGTAGGTAAGTCCAATGAACTCATTGGTTTGCCAGATTGGATCTTGGTGGAATTGTTCCTTTTGTTTTTGGTGCTCTATCTGGATGAAGTAGACATTTTGTCTCCCCGAGTAAAGTTTTCGCAATGTCTGCACTAGTGGTTGTTTATGAAGCTGAAACAGTCTAGTATGGGACATGGTCAGGCCCCCTGGCCATCGTGTGTGTGTGTGTGTGTGTGTGTGTGTGTGTGTGTGTCACCAATCCCCCAAATGTGAGACACCACAGGGGGGACAGAGAATGGCAGCGTTCTCGTTCTGTACTGGACTCTCACATTCGTGGGTTACCTCCACCGGCGACTCCACCCTCACAGCCTTCGTTAGAGGGCCTACTAACGCCCCAACTTTGCACACTAGGAAATAGGGGCTCAGTGAGTCCAAGGTCCTGCATGAGGTGTTGACCCATGTGACACCTGTTCGCATGTAGCCACCAGACATGAACCAGAGTCAGCCGTTCAGCAAAGGAGGAAGCACAGCAGAGACCTCGTGGGACAGGCTCTCCTCCCTCAGTCCCAGACAGGCCAGGGAGTTTAGCCAGAAGGACAGCAGCCAGGTCAGAAAACACCGGGACATGGGAGGGGGGTGTCTCTGAATTCTTTCTGTTTCTCACCTGCTCCATCACAGAGTTTGGGGAGAGTGCTTTGGAGGCTTGGAGGAAGGGCAGGGCTACCTTTTCTGAACAGACAGCACGGGTCTGTCCATTGGTGGTCACCTGGATTATTCTAGGTCAGGTGAGAACTTGTTTTATTTCTGTTTTTTGAGACAGTGTTTCTCTGTGTGGACCAGGCTGCTCGGAAACTCACTCTGTAGACCAGGCTGGCCTCTAACGGAGACCCACCTGCCTCTGCCTCCATGGTTAAAGGAGTGTGCGACCCAGCAGGTTAGAACTTCTGCTATTTAATACATTCTTCATCATTAGGAGAACGAAATGGATTTATTAAACGGAGTCAAGTTACTTAAGCCCTCCTATACGGCCATGATTTATAAAGCCACAAATGGTTTAGAATATAGTCTGGATTTTACAGAAGATGTCCTCTCTCAGGAAAGCGTCTGAGGCCTGTGTAAGAAGCCAGGAGGCTTCCACGCCTGTCTCTACCAGCCCAGCCTCCCAATATGCTCAGGTTACTCGAAGGAAGGTCTTTCCTGCCTGCGCAGTTTCCTTAGACAGAGTGTCCCTGGCTCCAGCTAATGCCAGACACTGCTATACTGCCTTGCTTGCCCCGTCTTCTCTCCCTTCCTCCTCACCGCCCCACCCCTTCCTTAACGTGAGAAAGAGGAAAGAAATTGAGTAGGCTCTCAGGTTAGGGAGTGGGACACTCACAAGCCTTCTCCTGCACAATCCCTGAGGGCCACAGCTCAAGGCCACTAATAAGCATCAGTCTCTCTTTCCTGTCCCCGGTGTCATTGTCCAGAGCCTGCACAACCTCTGTCCCTGGGGTGCTTCCCGAGGCCCTGGGTCTCTGAGACTAGTCCTCAGTCTAAATCCCAGATGATGTCCACTGCTATCTGAATGGTATTTTTGCAGCCCGCAGCCATCCAGTCCCTGACAGTCTAGCCCCAACATTTTCTCTCTCCTTCTACAACTTTGCATCCCTGAACAGAATCTTGTTCATCTGCCTTTCAAACTCCTATGCGTCCTCTGATGGTGGCCTCTCACAGAGGCGTGTTCTCAGTACACTTCAGCCACCAGCCCAGCCTGCTACGTTCAGATTAATCGAAGGGAGGTCCTACCATAGCTTGTCCTGGGACTTCCTATGTAAACAAGGCTGGAGCCTCACAGAGCTCCCCCTGCCTAGCACCGGGAATAGAGGTGTGCACCGCAGTGTCTGGTTCTTATGAATACAAAGTATCACTGATTTCAGGCCGTGGACAGGGATACATTTCCCTCTTCTTTCCCTTTCCTCTGTTTCTTTTTCCTTTCCCTCTCTTTTTCTTTATTCTTTGTCTTTAAAAGTATTATATATATATATATATATATATATATATATATATTTTTTTTTTTTTTTTTTTTTTTTTTTCAGACAGCTCTTTATGGAACCTTGGCTGTCCTGGAACTCATTCCGTAGACGAGGCTGGCCTCGAACTCAAGAGATCTGCCTGCCTCTGCCTCCCTGAGTGCTGGGCTTAAAGGCGCGCGCCACTACTGTCCGGCTATGGCTACTATTTTTAATAGGAGGCCCATGTGCGTGAGTCTGTGCCCCCGAGTGCCGCTGTCTACTGAGGCTCGAGTCATAGGATCCTTCTGCAGCTAAAATTAGACAGTTGCAAGGTCACTGACACGGGTGCTGGGAACCCTAACCTACTCAGGTCCTCCGCAAGCACAGGAAACGTTCTTAACTGCTAACTCATCTCTTTGGCCCTTCTTTTACAGGAAGACACTTTTGTTTGTGTGTGTTTACGGCTGGTGGGACTGGAGGACAACGTGTGGAAGTTTATCTCCTTTCATCATGTGCGTCCCTAACGCACAGGGTCCAACTTGGCCGCAAGCACCTTCCCCCGTGGAGCCCTCTCGTCGGGCTCGTCTTTTAAGATAGCCTGGCGCAGGCTGGCCTCGAACTTACTACACACCTGAGGATGGCCTTGATTTCCCTGCCTCGACCTCCTAAGGACCGGCGTTGCGTGCGTAGGCCGCCACTTCCAGCTCTCGGGTCGCTGCTGAGGTCCAGCTCAGGGCAGCGGCCCGCCGGCCCCCCGCAGCCGGGCTGCGTTCAGCACCCGCCGGCCGCGGAGGGCGCATGCGCGGGTTCGGGGCCCGCTTCCCGGCGCCCCCGGGCCGGCGCGTGGACACGAGCCTTCACGGGCTGGCGTGAGCGCGCGCGGGGAGGAGGGGGGGCGTGTGCAGGGGCGCGCGGCGCGCATGCGCAGCGGCGGGCGGCGGCGCGAGCCGAGCTGGGAGATGGCGGCAGCGGCGGTGGAGCGGAGAGTGTGAGCGCCGCCCGGGAGCCGCCGGCCCGGGCGCAGTGCGACCCCGACCCCGCCCGCCCGCCTGCCCGCCCGCCATGGGCAACGAGGCCAGCCTGGAGGGCGGCGCGGGCGAAGGGCCGCTGCCCCCCGGAGGCTCTGGGCAGGGTCCGGGCCCCGGAGCAGGGAAGCCTCCTTCAGCACTAGCTGGCGGCGGACAGCTCCCCGCGGCTGCCGCTGCGCGAGCCACCGCACCCCCGGCCCCTGGCCTCGGGCCCATCCCCGGCCCCGGCCCCGGCCCCGGCCCCGGCCCGAGCAGGTAAGAGCGGGCGTCTGGGCACCCGGGGGGGCAGGAAGCTACGGTCCGAGTCTGGGGCCTGGAACCCCACGATCTAGTGGACAGCCAGGTCCGGGTCTGCCTGCTCTCCGCGTCCTGCCGGGTTGGGCTGAGCTCGGTGGCCGAGGAGGGGGCGACCCTAGGTTTCCAGCTGCCCCGCCTTGACAGGACAGGATGGTGAGTACAGGGTTAGTCAGGGCCTGCAGACCGTGACTTCGTCACAACCCCCCAATTCTCTTCCCCATAGCACAGGGGCCCAACAGCTCAGGAGGGGCTTATGTAACCTTAGCCTGGTCCCTCTGCACAGGGGAGCAATGGGATGGAAGACACCCTCCCTGTCCGCCCGTGTCTGCATATGTCCATTGTGTTGGGTCGAGGGAGAGCACAATGGGAGTGGCCGTCAGGGAAGACAAGTCACCGCTAGGAACAGGGAGAGATGGGGATAGTTGAACCATGAACTTGGGCTTTTGCTTTCCTTAAGCATTTGGTGGCTGTCACTGTCCCTGAGGAAAGGAAAATTGCTCACTGGATACTATCAGGCCCGATGATACAGTCATGTGCTTTCATCAAGGGTTAGTGAACACTTTCAGGTGAAGCAAAAAACGCTATTGAATTACCTCCCACCAGATATGAACTCACGGCTTAATGGCTTACAGCAACACCTCCAGCCTGTGGGCAAGCTGAAACCCACAATGAATGGTTTAGACAGTAGGTCTGGGCAGGATTTTGAACCCAGCTTGTTGTAGGGGTTCACCAGCCCAGATTCTGCAAAAACAAGTTGTACTGGATGCAGAGGGTGCGGATGCTAATCTTCAGTCAGCCGCCTGAAGACTACCAAGAGATGACAGGGTAAAATGGAAGATGGTGTTTTTACACCAGTTGGGCCTGGGGAGTAGCGTAACCCTTGCAGGGGGGGAGGGAAGGGGGGAGATGCTCCCATCGCCTTCTCCGGAACACACACAAAAAAAAAACTCCAAGGAAGAATAATTTTTGCTTTTCCAGGTGCCCAACTATGCCTCCTCCGTGTTTATTTGCTCAGACAGAAGTCATTTCTGTCTGACATGTTAGTAGCCTGAAACCTGTCTCAGACAAGCCAGCCTATGAACATCCCTTTTCGGGGTGGAATTTGCCCGTTTTACATTTGCTGTTACAGTAATGCAGTTGAGCAGCGCCCAGCCCTTAGCCCTGCCTGCGAGCACTGTCCATCTTGCTGCATGTTGAGTTGCTGTTTGGGCTTTAGCTTGAGAAAGAGGCTCATCAGACTTCACTTCTCTCCTTCCAAGGAAGAGCTACAGCTGAATGGAAAAACACCTTGTTGTTGAGAGCCCTATGTGGGGAATTTACCATTTTCCTCCCGGTTAACCAAACCGGCTACTCTGCTAGCTGTTTATCAGATGTTGCAGAGACAAGCATATGGTATTTTGGAAAGATATGGCAGCGTAGGGGGACAGGAAAGAGGCTGCTGGACATAGCCCACACGGGACTTCCATTTCTATTCTACCTGTACACCCTGCCACAGGGCAGACCCAACCACGGCCATGTGTGCAGAAACCGTGGGCCTTTGCTGGATTTAGCAGCCGCAGCACATCTTGCCAGCTGTGGGCAGGGCTCACACACAGGTCTGTGTTCCTGAGGTCCTTCAGCCTTCAGCCTCAGGAGGTGAGCTGGTGGTTTGTCAGCCACACTCAAGACTGAGAACCCTTAGTGGGTACGAGTCACTCTTCCACCTGCTAGTCAGTTTCTCACAGCATCTCAGCTAAGCAGACAGCTGCTCTGTCTGTCTGTCTCTCCGTCAGGGTCGGAATGGCTTCTGATTCCTCTCACCAGCACGTCTCAGGTACCTGATACCAAATTTAGCATGTTCTGTTCTGAGATACCGATGAACAGATTGGCCCATTGATGGAGAAGAAGCCCCATGACATGAGCCTCTAGGCGTTCAGCAAAGAGCATTGCACGGGGATATGTTTCTTTCCAACAAGATCTTGAATTTTGTGGCTGTCAGAAACCTCACGGTATAGGGGAAAGGGTCAAAAGAAGGTACAGTTATTTTTTTTTTTAATCTCTTAGAACAAAAATGAGATTCCTAGCGAGTTGAATTCTGGTTCTCCCCTATTGCCATGTCACCTCCTGTCACCTCAAGCTCAGTTAGTTTTTTTCATCCTCATGCTGTGCAGCTGACTTGGGCTCTGTGAGGGGGTGGCTTCAGCGTTCCAGGCTGAAGAGCCTGACTTAAATTCAGTAAGTGTCGAGGCTGCCACACCCATAGCGCTGTCTCTCAACCTGTGGGGATGATGGTGGAGCTTTGAGCACTGTGCCGCTCCACAAGGAAGAATTGTCTGTTTCTGGTCTCAGGTTCACCTCATACAGTTCTGTCAGCTCCGCTTTTCTCAAGCAGTGACAGACTGAAAGAAAGCTCATCTCTGTCTCAGATTCTGCTTTCTAAGCTAATCGACTTGGTAGGGGCTACATCCTGATAGAGGAAGGAGCATCACTCATTCGTTCATTCATTCACTCACTCCTTTATTTATGGAGGTGTATCAGTGTACAGCAAGGGCACGAGATGATGGAATTGTACCTGTACATGCACCTATGACATACTGCCAGATTAAGACCAGACGCTGTAAGTACCCGAGAAAGTACTTGTGAAAGAAAATCTTTGAGCTGGGAGGTAGTACGGTGGCAGAGTGCCTACCCAGCACCTGTGAGGCCCTGGGTTCAAGCCCCAGTACCACCACCACCACTACCCTCCCCCCACTCCCTTTATTGGGTACTGGAGAGATGGTTCAACAGTTAAGAGCACCTGGAGGTTCTGGGTTCAATCCTCGGCACCCACATGTTGAGTCACAGCCATCCATAACTCCAGTTCCAGGGTATCTGACACTCTCTTCTGGTCCCCACGGACACCAAGCACGTGGGGCCTATAGACACACAGGCAAGCAAAACACCCACACACATAAAGGGAAAACTTAAAAAAATGACACAAAGCAGGGATGGAGAGATGGTTCAGTGGTTCGTTCGCCAGGAAGCTGAGTTGGGAGCCCAGCGCTCGTAACCAGCTCGGCATCTCATGCAGACCTGCAGCCCAGCACTAAGCTGTGGAGCAGAGACAGGGCGATCACTAAGACTTCCTGGCTTGCAGCCTCTCTGAGAACATGAGAGCCCCAGGTTCAAAAGGGTGAGTGGAGAGTGTTGAAGACGATACCCAGGACCGTCACTTAGCATCTCCCAGCATGAACACAGACGTGTACACCCCTCCCAAACAGTGCACATCGACTCAGACACATTCACACTCAAGGAAGTAAATAAATCCAAAACATACTGTTTTGCAAAAGGGGGTTGGGCATGGTAGTGTGCACCTTTAATCTTAGCACTCTGGGAGGCAGGCAGATCTCTGTGAATTCGAGGCCAGCCTGATCTACAAAGTGAGTCCAGGACAACCACGACTACACAAAGAAACCCTGCCTCAAAAAAAAAAACAACAACAAATTACACAAAGGGTCCACATCAGTGGCAGCCTGTCCACATCAGCCACAAGTTTGTAAAATTTTTGTCATGTGCAAATTGATCTTCAATAAATTTGCTAAGGTATCTTAGTCATCGAGAACAAGCACTGGATTTGGCTACGTGGAAGGTATGGAAGAAAAAAAAAAAGATACTTCCCTACCCACGAGCACAGCCTCGCTGGTCAGGTCCCTCTTTGAGGAGCCAAATCACGGATAATCTGGGAAACCTGGGCAGCTTAGTGTCTGTGCGTGGAAGGTTGTCTTGAAAGGCACCGTTAGGTTTCAGGAGGGGGGGGCACCCAAAGCATTCTGGAAAAATTATTGGAATTCAGCATGCAGAGGGAGGGAAGAGGAATGCCGTCTAACTTGGCAGAGACGGTGAGCAAAGAGTGAGGCTGAATGCAAAGGACTGGGAGAGAGATGGGGTAAAGCCAGGTGAGACACTTGTCTCTAAATGTCCGTCAAAACCCCGAATTCCCCGTTAGTTCATGTGCCACAGAGAAATCTCGAGCCAGACGCAGCCTGGCACAGAGAACCTCATTACGTGCTGGATAGGTGAGAGTGCCCTAGGAACCAACTTCCTTTCTCAAAATGGATTTGCCAGGCATAGTGTCTGCATTATCCAGGTCTATTGTATTAGCTAATAGTCACAGACTCGCAAAATCTACAGTGAGATTGTAAAGATAGGACGCAATTGCCAGGTCTGGAAGCCTGTTTGGAAGCCTGTCATTTAGAAGCCTTGTTTGGCCCTTAGTGGTCGAGGTTTTTTTGGAAGTACAGGTATAGTGACCTTCCTTTAGAATAGTGACATTGTCAGTTTTACCTTAAAGGGGCGATCATTTTTGCATTTCTTGCTAGGGAAAAAGAGGCAGCTTTGGTAACCTCATTCCCAGCACTGGTGAGCTGTTGAGATAATGTAGATGTTTTTGCTTTGTTTTATAAAGACACAGTGTTACTCTGTAGCCTGAGCTGGCCTGAAATTCATCACCTAACCCAGGTTGGCCTTGGACTCGGCTGTTCCGCTTGTCTCAGCTTTCCAAGTGGCAGGGATAAGGGCAGGGACTACAGGTGTGAGCCACCGTGCCTGGCTCTGAATTTAAATTTTTTTTCTAGTGGAGAATTAGGAGAAGACAGGCTATTTAAAACAAACAAACAAGCTTACTATGGAAATTTTCAGCATACATAACACAGGGAATAGTCTAATAAAGTCCCATATTCCAGTTACTTAGCCACAGCCATTATCAACTCAGCCAACAGTTTCATTTATCTCCCCCCCTTCCTACTGAAACAAATTCCAGACATTCCAGCATTCCATCATCAGCTTTTCAGTGTACACTTCCAAGAAATGAGCTCTGTATAAATGTAACCATAATGCCATCACTGCATCTAAGTAGGTATTTCTTTCTTCCCAGGGAAGGTTTGCTAGGAATCCAACCCAGGGCCTCAGGAATGCTAGGAGGCACGCTGTCTCCCAAGCTG